TAATATTGTCAACAGAGGGATGACTGTGTGTGCTCTTCAACATTTTTTATCAGCCCAATTGAACCAATAAATTGTGATGCAAAACTGGCTGATGTTTGGTCATATAGAAAAGTTTTGGTGCATTAAAAGAGAAATTACGGGGACAGGAATACAATAACATTGAAGAATTGAAAACGGCATAAAAAAGAAACGAAAGAAATTTAGTGCTTCTTTATATCAACGAATCATAAATGATATACCAGCACGATTAAAATCAGTAATTGATCAGAGTGGTCACCAAATCAATGAACTTTGATAACTTGATGTGTTTATTTTTATTTTGGAAAGTTGTATTGTTTTGAAAATAATAACTAAGATGATCAGGATAGTTGAAAAATAGTCTATGATAGGGTTGTTAAGGGTTCTCATCTGTAGTAAAAGTTATAGACCTGAAACTTTGTGGTTATGTAGTACTATGCAGATGCAATAATCTATCAAAGCTTCAAAGCATTTGCTTTTGTTAAATGCGAAAATGATGAATTGTAAAATTACTTCAAAACTTCTAGGACACCCCTTATAACAGATGAAAATAGAAAATCCTGTAAATAGAAAAAAAAATGAGGGGGTGATGTTATGGCAATAGATGCTAGTTCAAAACGAGTCAGGTTAGTTATTTAAAAAGACACATTAAAGGGAATCAAGTATCATGTTTCTTGTGGGTTTTGCATTCTAGCTGAGAAAGAGGCCAATTGAAGTGCAAGAGAAAAAGAGATATACACAAGCATTAGATAGAAGGAAAAGAGATTTGAATTCGGATACGAGAATGTGTCTTTGAAATATTTTCTCTTTCTTCGCGCTTTCACAACCAATTATCATTCAAATCAAACACGAAACTGTAAAAAACGCGTCTATTTATGGAAAGTTTCAGACACTTACAATAATTTGCAAGAAATTTTTCCAGTCCGTGCACCTTATGTATAAGCATGCAAGTTACATGAAATACTAACGATTGCTACCTACGAATACACAACAGTAGCTCATGTATAGGCGTGCAAATTGACAACTACATGCATGCAATCACAAGTTTTTAACTTTTTAGGCAAAACATGCTAGATTACATATGATCCTTATTCTTGCAAACACTCACATACAATAGTTCTATGTGTTCATGCAAAATATATAATTCTCATATAAATGCGAAATTGTTATTTCCGTGTACCTGCAGAATGATTAGAACTTTGCTAAATGTTACATACCAGGGTGAAATATTCGTGTTTACGAAAATAACCACTTAATCAATTCTACATCGATAAGCACATTTCAACTATTTTGCAATGTACAGGTTGGCCATGCAAAAGTTGTTTTTTCTTTGAAATATATTTATTTATTTTTCATTAAAATAAGATCACACTTCTATGTAATTAAACTATGTTAACTCAGAAATATTTTTTATCATTTCCAACAGTTTTCACAATTATTAGCATTTATGTACACGCGTACCTAGTAGTTATTGGAACATCATAATATCTTTCAGTTTCGATTGCACTTCTAATGTTAGTAGATAGTAGAATGATAAAGAAGTTCGTCTTATAATATACGGTATTTATTTTTGAATTTTATCTCTGAAAGTTACTACTCTGTGTTTATGTGTATTCATGCATGATTGGTACATATGCTTCGTTTTTGGTTATTCTAGGATTTTCTTACATGTGCGTGCGAGAGTTCATTAAAACAAACGTATGTAGATATGTTATCGCATACGATAATAAAATGCATGTAGATAGGCAAATTTCATGAGATGCGTAATTTGAATTCGAATGTAAACGAAACTCCTAGAGCTTTATATCACTTCGAAAATAAATAGAAAAAATTCGAACTAGTATTCATGCTGAAATGGTCGAAACAGTTTATGATAAATTCTTATCCAAATTATAATTATACTTCAAATACAAGTACCGATGTAAAAACGGCTTAAAATCTCAAAGATCAATCATCATGTTCAAAATAAGTAAGCTCGAAATTCATCAATTTGCAATCCATGTTTTATCAATCAGCTAAGCGTATGGGCGAATTATACGCATCTTAAATGCTCAGTATTCTGCAACGGACTTCTAAGCGTTTTATATAGGTTCTCAACAGAGTTAAGACTTTCACAACTACAGTCCGAAAGATCCTGAGAGTGTCTCTTGACGTTCTTCAGAGCATTCTTATGAAGCCTACAGAAAGAACGTTATGGGCTCCACGAGAAATCCATAGAGAATATCTAGTAGATCCTGAGGCGGTCTTCAGATGTTCCTTAGTTGATCTCCAGAAGATTCTGATGGAACCTAAATGAAATCCTTATGAGATGGTCAAGAGTCCTTACAGGATATACAGAAAATTCTTAATTGATCTCCAGATAAATCTCAGATGATATCTACAGGATCTTCATGGATCTCCGAGGCAGTCAGAGGTTATCCAGAGGACCTCAATGGGGTAGCTAAATATCGCTTAGAGACCACCTGGAAATCTCCTAGAGATACTTCAGAGATTCCTCGCATATTCATTGAAGATCTCTGAGGGTACCGAGAGTTTTTATGGGGATCCCATAAAAACCTCTAAGATCTCCTTTGAGTTTGCCACATATTTCTTTGAAACTCAGCCCAAATCTTCTGTGAATTCTCTAGAGATTCCATGATCAGCTTGTGAACTCACCAAGGAAATCGCTGGAGATAACTAGTGGAACTCTCTGGACAGTTAGTTCAGTAAAGTTCAATAGATCTTTTACTGAAAGTCCCGATCCAGTTCATCTGTCAAACTCACTTTTTCTGACCAATCTTCATTTCAATTATATTTTTTCTACAGAACATGTTTTTAAAGTGATGATTAATGTTTTAAAGTATTTATTAACGTCTCTACTGAATTAAAAGTCTAACTTTAAAGTCTTGACACTGAAGAAGTGCTTTTGTCGGTGTAATCGACTTTTTATATTAGCGTCGTGGTGTAAAGACATGTATTGCCCTCGAAGAGCTGCGAATCATGCTGGTCTATCTGTACACAGTAAAGTAGGTTTCGTTAATATCTTTAACAACATTTTCAGCCGACTCCAAAATGTATCCTTGCCGATTCCGACCGTTTTAACAAGGGGGGTCCTATTTCGGTTATAGTTATCATTGAAACAAATAATTATCTTTAGCCTTTTTGACCGTTTTTGCAGGTACGCGATCATGCAAATAGTAATTATTAGTGTGGAAGATTTTAGCGTTGGCTGTTTAGTAGCCAATGAAATTTAGAAATTTCCTTTAATTTTTGAACTCGAAGTCGGCAGCTACTCGCAAATTTCCATTGCGTATTAGCACGTTCATACATATTTCATGTAAAAGCATTCGTGTACGTGCATGTTGTTTTTTGCGCGCAGTTACACACTTTCTTAAGCTTTCGTATTTGAATGGAATGACCATGAATAAAAAAGAAAAACGGAACATAGTACATAGATTGCTTTAAACAGATGAAAAAAATTTCATGAGAGTGGATTGGAATGGAAAACCGAATTGAAGAAGGTCGTATGGAGTTTCGGCACTTTTGTTCAACACCCAAAGGATCGTCACAATAAAAAAGATTGTCGAATTTCAGGCTTACAGAGGAACTACGGTGGAATGAAGCGAGAATATCGGTGAAACTCTGTAAATTCGACAATTTATCCAATAACCGTAACCTTTGTTAACTGTTGGATGGGCAAGCAAACTGTTTTTATCATTCTCCCTTTTTCAAATAAATTTCTTTGTATTAGATCTACTTTTTATTTTTACTTCAATAAAATCACTTCTTTTTGCATTGTATATGAGACATCAGTATGTATTCTTATCATAGTAGAAAATTGTTGTTGAAATACGCACAAAAGATGGGCTTTGAATATATATTCCAAAGCATAGCATAAAACTGTCAAGAAAGTAAGCATTTCATGCGTTTGCCTTGTTTCAACGGGACAAATAATAAAAAGTATATGCATTAAAACGATCTGACCTGTGATTTCACATCGTTAACAAAGTATTATTTTGCTTATACGTTAGAACGTTAAATAAATAACGATTGCATGTATGCATATGTGTTTTTATGTACTACTCCTCATTTCAAAAGCGTCGAACGAAAAAAACTTCAAGAAAAGAAAATGAACAGGTTAGCTTGTAAAACACTTAGAATCCCCCTTGTTTCATTACTTACACGCAAAATTTCTTGTCTTAACTCAGCGAACAAATTTTTACAAAAACGATGGCAAAATTCAATTTATAAGTGTTAACACGTTGGCTGTTTAACACATTACTCTTGCTGATAAAAATGTGGACGAAAAACATATAAAATTTACACATTTCCTTAACAAACCGCGTGCGTGAAAAGAAATGAGCGTTGAAATTTGAATAGAAAACAATATTCCGCACGTTCACGCGCTCATTCGTACTGTTTGAGAAAACTTTAGTCATATTCACATTCAAAAAGCTCAAGTCTCTCGGTGTTTACACAACCGCTCTTTTCCAGACACGTTTGCACACGTCTCTATAAAATCCTGTTTATTTTGGTGGACGTAAGCTTTTACGAACCTAAAAAAAAGAGCAAGCGATAATTAAACATCACCAAGATGTGAGTTCAATAGCCCTTTATTGAGGGTTATATTCAAAAAATTGATTAGAGCGTCAGTTACGCATTTCATTTTTTCATGAGAAGCAAACTTGATAGTCAATATTTTGGAGTATATCAAAAGAAAAATCGTTTAATCAGGAAACAAAACAGGTTTGAAATGGCATTTGGTGATTGATTCAGCAGCTAACATGCTTACATATGCCTCCATGTCGCATACTCTACTGGCAGCTATTTTTCACGCTAGCAATTGTCTTACCTCCTCACCTCCTTATAATCATCATCCAACACATTACAAATGGTCTCTATAAAATTAAGTGTCAGAAGTATAGAAAAAAATCTTTTATTTCTAATAATTCTTTCACAACAAACTAAACTAAGCTAAAATCACACAAGCGTCTGTTATTTGTTTATGGAGTGTAAAACTTTCGTATAAATGAGTCAGTGTTACAATCGTCTCGGTTTTCGAATTGTCGGTCGAAAAATGTAATTTTCTTCGTTGATCCATCAATCTGGCAAACTATCCAGAAGTTCGCCTCTGGCTGATCGACATATGGAACGCGAACAACTCTAAATGGATACTCTGAATCTAAAGCTTCGTTGGTACTGATAGTAACATGAGCATCTGATTTCGCTAATTCGCCATCTTTGGTATATCTATGAACAGCATAAACATATTTCATGTTTGGTTCAAGCTTCACTTTGATTGTTTCGGGTCCACCACCTTCTCGACAATCGTAATCGAGAGACACATTTCGTTCCTGTTTTCGCGAGAAAAACACGTGCCGTCCATCCGAAACATACACATGAGAATCGAGATCTTTCGGTCGATCTCCCCATCTAAGTAGAAATTCAACTTCATCAGGTGCCATTTGTCGATAGATAAAGTAAGTAACGGAGTCTGGTCCTCTGTTTTGAAATACAGTTCGTTGAAATTTGGCAATTTTGTACTGAGTTTTATGAGTATTTATCACAACGTCGTAACAACCGTTCGCCAGATTTCGAGGTAGATTCACAACACCGACTTGATCACTCGTACCGGTAAAAACGACTTGACCGTGCAATATAATTTGAATTGCGGTGTCAGGAATGAAGTTGTTAATAGAATCACGAATGATAAACTGCTTGGGCATGCAAATTTCACCTTTGGGTTCAATACGCATCGTCCACGTACCAATAACAACTTTGGAATTTGGATAAAAAATCGACACTTGATACTGCCCATAGTTATTAAAATTGAATTGATCAACGATGCTTGCTTCGACGACGATTCTCTCCTGGGACGTGTAATAAACAGCTGCGAACGATACACCACTCCATCCTTTGGGGCCAACGAATGAAGTCGGAAGCGAGACAATGGCTGCCGTAACCTTAACGTTTTCTGCCCAATGCAAGGCAGATGCTGATTTTGAATCACTTGCAGAAAAATCAGCCGTCCATGAGTTTGTCCATAGAAGATCGATATCACGTGTTTTTGTGGGCGTCCCGGTGGTTACACCTTCAACGATTCAAGGTAATGTGAGATGAGAAAAATAAATAGAACATTTTTGATAAGTAAAATTCATAGACTTCAGACTCGCCTCTCGTTGATTCTTTTTCGAATACTCACTGTTTTGTGAAGATCCGCATAAGCACTCCCAGAAACAAAGCATTTCATATAGAATTCGTATCCGACTGAAGGAAATTTTAAAGTTTCACAAGTTGCTCCAGAGTAATTAAGTTATTTTTTCTTTGGATACATATTTGGTATACATAAACAAAATTTTGTATGAAGAGCGGTTTCATATCTTTTTCTCCTCTCAGGAAAATAGTAAATAAAATGTCCCGTTTTCCATTCCGAAAGAATTAAATATCAATAGATGTTTTTCTATTCTAAGCATTACTGATATCCTGTGGAAACCTCATGAAGTAGAAATGCTATCTTCTCTTTATCTAATGTATGTTATTCAGAATTCGAATGAAGAAAAGCAGAGATGGAAGCGGTCCGAATTTTTGAAGACCAGTACCGATACCGGTCTGACCGATCTACCAGCAACGAATGATATATCGATAATTCACACTACCAGAGAAAGAGTAGTTTAGGAATAGAAAATTCGGTTTATCGTGTGGCAAACTTGATGCACCAAGTTGTATCTCATTCCTGCTATAGAGATGGAATCAGTTTGAATTTTTGACGGCTGGTACTAGTCTGAAAAATTCGGACAGATCGGCCTACCAGGTCTACTGGCAGAACTGCCGGTCTAAAACTCGTATAGGTACCGGTTCTATCTCTGGCGAAAAGTACTCATGAAATTTAAAAGGTGATGTAATATTATGCACAAATGAAGTTTTATTCCATTCTGGAGGTGCATTCTCAATTATCATTGTGCAAACTGGTGAAGCCAGTAAATCCGTTATGTGTCTACAGTGATGATCAGTTTTTTTTCCCGTTATTCAGAAACCTTTATACTAAAAAACGCTATCAGTACTAATGCATCAATTATCACCATAAATTCTTCTTCTAGTCACTGGCTTCACTATTAGTTTTATTGTTGTATCTATATTCCGTTATTTTCTTACTTTCTGAGAAAGTAATTCAACCATGTTGATATTCCTAGTCGAAACTCGTCTGATATCTCGAACAATAATCTTGCGTTGGTCTGACGTGGAAACCTTTAGAACTACTCAATTGTTGTCGAAATTATAAAAAGATCATATATCAATGTCCGATTGGGGTCGTGTTCGGTTACGAAAAATATTTTGGGTTTCCAGGTGAATCTGCATTCTGAGTATTTATCAGATTCAAAAAGCATTTTCAATGTTCTTTTCATTTAAAAGTTCTCTACAAGAGCGTGAAAAGCTTAGTAAAAGAAGAAGTTATACATAGTGCGATCTTTTCTTCTACTTCATCAACTTTTCTTCTTTGACATCAGACAACGATGCATAGCGATTGTACTGTCTGCTCAATGGTGACATAGAAGTCACATTTAGTATACATACACAAGGGAAACAAGAGAGAGTTCTATCACATAATCTTATTTTCTCAACTACGGAATATCCGCGAAATATCAAGGACGTCAAGAGATCACGGACTGATCCTTTGAATCCAACTACAAAACGAAAGGAAGAGAAAAATTATTGAGAAATTGGTTTTCTTAAGAGAAAGAGGAGAGTGATCAATATCCAAGGGGGAAAAAGCGCGACTCCAGGAGTGCGTACTCCAATGATACTCCACTGGTACTCCACTAGTACTTCACTGGTACTCCGATGGTACTCCACTAGTACTCCACGGTACTCCACTGGTACTCCAAAAAAATAGTTGGAGTACCAGCGGAGTACACACCAAAGAAAAATTTAGAGTTCCAATGAAATATCAGTGGAGTACGATGGAGTACCACTGGAGTACCAATGGAATACCAGTGGAGTACCGTGGAGTACAAGTAAGTACGTATGGAGTACCATTGGAGTACCGGTGGAGTCGCGCTTTTCCCCCCTTGTCAATATCAGAGTTCGACTCGAGTCAGCTTGGATCGGGCCACAAAAACTTGACCCTTATCAAACACTGGGGTGTATGGAAGATCATGAGAATAGTCTAACTCAAAAAGGTCTTGTGTGCAGATGCTTTCTGAATGAACACTCATGGCCGGTTTCCTGTTATTTTAGCAGCTGGGCACGAGTTTTCGAAAAAATTGATTCAGGGAATTCTGTAACAAAATTCGGTCTTCTAGTAGGTTTTATCACTCATAAGAATATCGTAAAACTTTCAACTCAAATGAGTGCTTTCTCTGCACAATATTTAGCTGCCGAGAAACGTCCTAGTTTTCGAGAATTAAATATATTGGTAGTTGAATACTTTGAAATGTACAATGCTCATTCGATCTGAAAATTTTCACAGAACTCTTATGGATACTATACCAACTTGCGAACCAAGTTTCAGCCTAAAATTCACTTATTCAATGTTTTTGAGAACCTGTGACCGTAGTCGAAAAGAGCAGTAAACCGATGATGAATTCATTCAGAAAGTACATGCATATTCATCTTTTTTGGGCCGAACTCTTCTCACAGACCTGTATATAAGTATTAAATGTAATCTCAAGAACAATGAGACACCCCGATCGATTCTCTCGTTAGTAAAGAGTACTCAATACATCCTGTCATTAAAATTGGAAAGGTTACTGATAGAGATCTGCACGACAAACAGTTTTCGAGTATATAATCCCATTTGTCACATCCCGTTTTATTTTCAAAATATAATGGTCCCAAGTGTCTCGCAGGGCGAGAGAAACGTTTTTTTCTGACTTCAGAACTGTTCCACAAGACTCTGGTTACTAGCTTATTACCTTCTAACAATCGTCGGTATGTATTTATTTCGAATTGAAGCGAAACATTGTTTTCATGTACACCTGAAATAGCTGCTTGGAGTGCATTGTATTCAGCCAGACGCATGGCAAATTCCTGTTCTAATGACATTTGTGATTGACTTCGATCGAATCGTATCCTTTCAAATTCTTCTTCGAGATCTCGCATTTGGGTAGCCAATTTCGCGTTTTCCGATTGTAACACGCCATAAGAATTTCGAAGCTCGCCCAAATCTCCTCTGATCGTTTTCAAATCAACTGTATGAACTAATGCTGGCTTTTTAAGTTTTTGATCAGCTATTTCTGTTTCAACTTGTTCAATTTTGATTCTGTAGTATTCTAAAACAGAAATATAATGAATTCAAGTCTCTGAATGTAAGAAAAATCTGAACACATGATGTTTAGAGGTGCATTGTACAGTCATCTCACTTCATTTTTATTATTGGATGATGGATATGGAATGTTTTGATATCTAAGGTTGTTGAAAGTGAATGCAAGAATTGAACTTTGGGTCTTCCATATACCGAAAATATTATATTGTTCCCAATAGAAATGAAATATGTTCTTTGTATGCTGTTCGTTTTCCTAATGACTTTCACAAAGTTTTGTTTCCTTTAGTGCAAACCTGTTTCTATTTGTAAAATTTTGTAGAAATATTTTTCACCTTGTTGAAATATTGGCCCATTTTTGTTTCTGGTGGATATTTTAGAGTTTTACAACAGTTATACGGATACATCGTAAATAACACCGCAAACTAATAAGTGAAAGAATCTTTTATGAGCCTAAGATAAGTCTTCATGAATTACTGTCAAAACTGAGTGCTAGGATATCAAAACTCATAGACACTTTTCACAAGAAACTAGCAGAACGTGCAGTTATGTAGAGAATTCTTTGGTAAATGTTCACAAGGTGATATACACAGATAGGAAGCCTGAAGTCATGTTATTCAGATGTCATTGTTGCGTATAGACTCTTTTCATTCAAGCTCATTAAACATGCACGTCTGTCTGTATACCAGTTTTTGACTATTTGATGCTTAATTTCTAGCCTCACTGAAATATGCGATCTTATTATTTATAGATATAGCTGTAACTGGAAAGCGGAGCCGTCTGTTTATTAACAGCATTGACAAAGAGAGTTATAGCCCAAGCAATAGTTATTCACATTCCTATTAATTATAATGCTACTTGTTATATTTACCTTTCAATTCCACAGATCGTGCATCTGAAAGTATCTCAAAATCTTTCTTGATATTGGCAACTGCTCGTGCAAGTTCATCGCGGTAGAATTGACCAACATCGATTTGGTATGTTCCGAGCAAAGCCAACTCATTGCGTTCTTCTTCATAAATAGCTTTCATAAAGATTAATTCTTCTCGAAATGTTTGCAGTTCAACTTCAAGCATGACACGAGCCATCAATTCATTATCAAATTCCTTGTTTAAACCATTCAAATACTCGATTTGTCGTTTCATTTCATCTTTGCTTCGTCCAATTTCCCCCTTCTTATTTTCTACTTGCTGGCGCAATGCTTCGAGTTCAAGTTTGGATCGTTCAAAGTCTTGTTCAGAAAGTGAAGCACGATTATGATCAACGGCAATAAGTGTTTGTATGAAAGAAATTCGATATCCAATCGACGATTTATCTTGATCGGCTCGTATAGATTGTATTTGAGCTAATTGCATGTCGCATGTTGAACCGTCGAGATTCTTTCGAAGCGCACTTAAATCTTTATGATATTTCTCTCTTATCTTGATAGAATCAAAACCTGAGTATGAATTACAAAAAGTATTCATTAACCTCCTTCAATGTAACAAGCTTTTTTCCAAGAAACTTACCCCAATTCTGTCTCAGAGCATCAACTTGTGAACGTAAAAAACGATTTCGATCTTCGAGTTCTTTAACCCGTTTGATATACATGCCAAAGTTTTCGTTGAGCTGTTGCAATTCACGTCTCTCACCATCGTGTTGCAGAGAAATTTTTCGAATTTGAACAATATGAGTATCACCGGTGGACATATTGACTTTTTCTTATCACCAACAAGGACAAATAGATGAGAAGAAAACTAATCAATATCTACAATTAAACAGAGAATGGCATCTGCAGTAAACTCAAGCAAGTCAAACTCTTTTTGTACGCTTTTGACATAATTGATCAATATATTTTAGTGGAAAAAAGAAAATTACTATAGGATAAACATTTAAATATAAGACGAGATCAAAGAAGAGAGTAAGATGTTATATTTGAGAACTCACTATTTACGCTCACAATGGAAGTGTTTATGCTGTAAATTAAAAAGACTAGGCATATTCGGGACAAAATAAAGTTATCATCGCCAAACCAACAAATTAAAAATATTAGCGACCCTTGACGTGCTTGGACGAAGATATTCGAATTTTCTGAGGAGATCAAAGATTTTTAGTGAATTTTCGCTGTAGGGTTCTACTTTTGTATAAAGACCATGTTTTGAAATTTTGGTCTAAATCGGAGCCCACATAAAGGCCCCAATTAGACTAGCTTCCATTAAAATTTCAGATTTTTCCGACCGATACTCTCCGAGATATAGGACTTTCAAAGCATAGACCCTTTTCGATAGATAGTATATACTTCGGGTAAACCAAAAGTTCGTAGAACATTTTTAAAGGACCTTGTCGGATAAAGTAATCTATTCAGAAATGAAAAACCAAATATATCATGTTGTAGAGCTTTTTGAGGGGCGTCAAGTGATATATAGTAAATCCTGTTTTCATAAGACTTTGAAGCAACTAGAATCAATTTACTGATAGACGAGTACGCATTCACACCCACACCGACAAGATGACCAGAGATGCTGCATATATGAGGTTGTAGCCCGTCAAAAATTCTACAAAGTCGTATGTGAGAAAAAATATTTTACAAATACTTTCCATTAATCCCAAGGACCACAATATTCAGTAACCTATTATACTTGGGTGAGAGTGTGAGTGTGAGTGCGAAGTCGTCTATCAGTAAATTGACTCTAGTTCCTTCAAAGTCTTATGAAAACAGGATTGATTATATACCATTCGACGCACCTCAAAAATCTCTACAACATAGGGCATTTGGTTTTTCATTTCTGAATAGGTTATCTTATCCGACAATATCCTTTAAAACTGTTCTACGAACTCTTGGTTTACCCTAAGTAGAAGAGGTCATTTTTTGAAAGCTTCATATCTCGAAGAGAAGTAGTCGGAAAAATCTGAAATTTTCATGGAAGCTAGTCTAATTGTAGCCTTTGCCTCGACTCCGTTTTAGACCAAAATTTCAAAGTATGATCTTCATACAAAAATAGGATCCTACAGCGAAAATTCACTAAAAATCCTCAATCTCCTCAGAAAAAAATGCATGGGCTCGAAGTATTTTTATGGTAGACACAGTTTATTAAGGTTTGCAAAATTTGAAAAATCACAGTTGAAAAGCACTCTGATATTTGAGAATGTTCCGTCTTCAGTTGAATATATAAATGATCTTAATGTGCATATATACTGAAGACTGTGAATATCGTAAAATTCTAATATCTTCCTTCAGATACGCCAAAGGCTGCTAATATTTTAAATTTGTTGGTTTGGCGCTGACAGCTTATTTTGACCCGAATATGTCTAGCCTTTTTAAATTACAACATAAACACCTCTATTGTCAATCTCTTTCAAGCGCTCCTTAAAAAACACCGTACTAAATCAAAAATTTGCACTAGAAACTGCACAATTGACGTTCAAAATTGAGAAATTTCTAGAAAGTCTAACGATCATTGTACGCAAAGAACAACTAGCCCTATGTAATTGATATTCCAGATTTAAAAGAAGCTTTGTCTTTTTGTAATCAAAAGTGAGATGTGGACATGACAAACATTGTAGTTTGGAAAACGTTCCCTTGTTGTCTTCTCCAAATTTCAAGAGGGACTCTTTACAGCAGAATATAACAGCAACTACGTCAAACGTCATGTATTGGAAAGTTCATCTTTTGTCTACACTAATACCTTTTGTCATGAAATTTTACTGTTCTATATTATATACTGCTGTATCTACTCTACATACAGACACGTTCAAAAACACAATTCGATGTATGAAGAAGAACAGAGAGAGTTCATAGAGCTTAGATATACTCTCTACATTGTGATCCAGACTTCTATCAGTAATGAGTGTCCGATGATGTTTCGCTGTCGAGATTAGCATTAATGATTCCGTCCTCAGGTATCATAAGCAGTTTTCAGATACCTTCTTGCATAACTTTGAAGCGCTCAGTGTCCAATATATATATATATATATCATACAACTCCGATTTCTATAAGTTCAATTTAGTTTATTGAGCTGATCCATTGCGAAACTGTGATTTCGACGAAAGCCTTCTGAGAAATATAAATAATCCGCAGAACTTAACTTTTCATTAACATGACTAGTCTAGGACATCTCTCTGGTTCAAATCTCAACCTTTTCACCAAATTCGCTCATTAAATATGTATATGCACATAGAACCAAAAAGTGATAATCTTTCATGAATTTCGCAAATCTTTCTCAACTCATCAACAGTTCTTTGATTTGATCACACGATTCCTTTTAAAGAGTACTTAAATTTCATATTCATTTACAGTTAAAATGTTAAACTTAACAGATATATATTAGCTATGAAATATGGATACTACAAAGCAACAAACAATGATAAAACTCAAGTTGTTTTAGTGGTGGTATTCTAAAAAAGATTTAAGTATATCTGGAACGGAATAATATTTTTCTAGTGGCTTGAGCAAAAAATTTATCGAACAGTTGTCTGTATAACATATGTGAAAATTAGTCTAATCAGTGGTCATCGATGAAGCAGATTCTCTGAAGTCAGTATTGGTTTATTCAAAATAAAGCAACTATATACTGTAAAAACGTTTTTTGTTTAGGTAAAAAGCAAAAGGTGAGTTGTCTAAAAATTACTTGTAATATCTGAGAAAATAGCTATTAGCGCTAATTTTGAAAGAAAAATACCATTGGACACTCAATACTGATAGAAGTCTAGATCACAATATAGAGGATATGTCTAACCTCTATGGAATCTCTCCGTACGTCTTCATATGTTGATAAATGATTTTGAACATGTCTGTATGTAGGGTAACTGCAGTGGTATTTTAAATACGTCAGTAAAATTTCATAAAAAAAAGTATTAGTGTGGACAAAAGGCAAACTTTACAATATAATGAAATTTGATGTAGTTGCCGCCATTTTCTACTGTAAAGAGTCTCCTTTATAATTCAGAGAGCACAACAAGGCAATGGTTTTCAAAACTAAAATGTTTGTCATGTTCGCATCTTAGTTGCTGCTACAAAATGATAAAGCTTCTTTATAATCTGGGATATCAATTGAGTATATGATCCAGTCTTGAATTGTCTTAATCGAATAGCAGCTGTCAACAAAATTATCTGATTGTTTCATGTGGCTATATTCTTCTGAAATGCTATCTGAAAGAATTGTTGAAGCCTATAGGGTAGCCATTTAGACCCGGTTCATTTGTCGTCCCACCGCCTCTTCACCTTGATAAGCACCTTAGGAACCAGTCACCGACGGTGGCAGACACTCTGAAAGTCCATCATCGATGTTGACAGACAGTGTAGTAGGCCATTACAGATCGTAGCAAATGCCTTAACAATATCCTCCCTTTCTGCTATAGGCCGTGTAAGACTTTGCTGATACTCGATCAGCGATCATATATCAATAACATTACGTTCTAATATGTTAACTACTATCCTGTTTGATTTATGGAGGATTAAGTAAGCAGATGATAAAGACATGTGTTTCAAGATAGTTAGAATAAAGCAATCTCCCTGTAAGTAGCAAGAACAGTTACATCGTGTTTCGTATTCTAATCTAAGAATAATTGTCCTAACAGATTTTTCTTCATGGTATTTATATTTAGAATGACTAATTAATGAGATATCTTTACAAGCTCCTGCTCGTTATTCTGAAGGATAGTCAATGTATTGTCGTCTCAATCGGTGAAATGTGAGACGTGTACATTTTTTGCTGATCTTTCTCCCTTAAACACTACTGGGTTCGATGCAGTAAAGTATACTGTCCTTTGAAAGCTCCTCTTTGCTCATACCCATGTTGCTTAGATGTCGCATGTTATATTGTTCTTGAATGAAAATATTTGAACTTTTATCTTCCTATGCAATGTTAGTGCTACGGGTGTTAATAAATTGTCAGTAGTGTTAGTTCACTTGAGACTCATGCTGCTTCAATCAAGAATAGTATAGTCAGCCGTATCTATACAGAATGACCTGCTGCTTTGTTATTCTTTATCTCGATTTTTTTAAAGTAAATTCTGTTTATGTCTTCTCTTACTCAAGGGCAAGTTTCCTTTCAAGGACTTTTATTTTATTCTTTTTTGTTCTTGTGCATGTCTTGTGCTTTCAAGCAGCATGCATTATAATAAGTTGTTGATGGAAGCAATACAACAGCGCGTAATATTTGTCTTTCTTGTCCTGGATTCAAATATTCATATGAAATGCATTAGAAAGAGAAACATCTTGACAACTAATGGATGAAAAATTCAGATGAAACGCATTACGAAATGCATATATTGACAACTGAAAAATGCATCGCACCGAGTTCGTACATCAATACAATCCATTTAACGAGCTCGGCCTTTTGAAACTATGTGAAACATCTCTTAGTTTAATCGTAT